CGTTTACCAGAGGAACACTTTGTGTGCTACCAAACGTCACAACGTAACTGGGTGATCATAAAGGAGCTCTACAGGTGTCTCCAAAGGTACATGTTGGGTTGGCATATTTCGAGATTAGGATTTGTCACTCCGATTGTCGGAGAGGTATCTCTGGGCCCTCTCGGTAATGCACGTCACATAAGCCTTGCAAGCATTGCAACTAATGAGTTAGTTGCGAGATGATCTATTACGGAACGAGTAAAGAGACTTGCCGGTAACGAGATTGAACTAGGTATTGAGATACCGGCGATCGAATCTTGGGCAAGTAACATACCGATGACAAAATGCGGTCTGACCGATAAAGATCTTCGTAGAATATGTAGGAGCCAATATGAGCATCCAGGTTCCGCTATTGGTTATTGACCGGAGACGTGTCTCGGTCATGTCTACATTGTTCTCGAACCCGTAGGGTCCGCACGCTTAAGGTTTCGATGACAATTATATTATGAGTTTATGAGTTTTGATGTACCGAAGGAGTTCGGAGTCCCGGATGAGATCGGGGACATGACGAGGAGTCTCGAAATGGTCGAGACGTAAAGATTGATATATTGGATGACTATATTCGGACATCGAAAAGGTTCCGAGTGATTCAGGTATTTTTCGGAGTACCGGAGAGTTACGGGAATACGTATTGGGCCTTATTGGGCCATACGGGAAAGAAGGAAAAGGGCCTCAAGGGTGGCCGCACCCCTCCCCTTGGTCTAGTCCGAATTGGACTAGGGAAAGGGGGCGCCCCCTTCCTTCCTTCTCCTTTTCCCTTCCTCTTTTCCTATTTCATATGGGAGGTGGAATCCTACTAGGACTAGGGAGTCCTAGTAGGACTCCACACTTGGCGCACCCCCTCCTAGGGCCGGCCTCCTCCTCCCTTGCTCCTTTATATACGGGTGCAGGGGGGCACCTCAAAGACACAACAATTGATCCTTGAGATCTATTAGCCGTGTGTGGTGCCCTCCTCCACCATAATCCTCGATAATATTGTAGCGGTGCTTAGGCAAAGCCCTGCGACGGTCGAACATCAAGATCGTCATCATGCCGTCGTGCTGACGGAACTCTTCCCCGACATTCTGCTGGATCGGAGTCCGGGGATCGTCATCGAGCTGAACGTGTGCTAGAACTCGGAGGTGCCGTAGTTTCGGTGCTTGATCGGTCGGGTCGTGAAGACGTACGACTACATCAACCACGTTATGCTAACGCTTCCGCTTCCGGTCTACGAGGGTACGTAGACAACACTCTCCCCTCTCTTTGCTATGCATCACCATGATCTTGAGTGTGCGTAGGATTTTTTTTGAAATTACTACGTTCCCCAACATTTTGTTCCACTCTTGCCGCCCTAGTTTCCGTCATATCGGTGTTATGTTCCCGGATTTTGCGTTCCTTACGCGGTTGGGTGATAATGGGAACCCCTTGACAGTCCGCCTTGAATAAAATTCCTCCAGAAATGCCCAACCTTGGTTTACCATTTGCCACCTGGCCTTTTTCCCTTGGGTTTCGCGGACTCAAGGGTCATCTTTATTTTAAACCCCCGGGTCAGTGCTTCTCTAAGCGTTGGTCCAACCTAGAGCACCGTGCGGGGCCGTCCCTTGGCAACTTGGGTTACGTTGGCTCCCGTACGCTTAGCTTATCCGGTGTGCCCTGAGAACAAGATATGTGCAGCTCCTATCGGGATTTGTCGGCACATTCGGGTGGTGTTGCTGGACTTGTTTTACCATTGTCAGGGTTGTCTTGTAGAACCGGGATGCCGAGTCTGATCAAAATGTCTCGGGAGAAGGTATATCCTTTATTGACCGTGAGAGCTTGTCATGGGCTAAGTTGGGACCCCCTGCAGGGATTTGAACTTTCGAAAGCCGTGCCCGCGGTTATGGGCAGATGAGAATTTGTTAATGTCCAGTTGTAGATAACTTGAACCTTAACTTAATTAAAATGAATCAACTGTGTGTGTTACCGTGATGGCCTCTTCTCGGCGGAGTCCGGGAAGTGAACACAGTGTTGGAGTAATGCTTGCCGTAGGTTGTTCTCTAGTTCTTCGTTCGTGCTTGGCCTTCTCTTCTCGCTCTCTTTTGCGAACAGGTTAGCCACCATACATGCTAGTCGTTTGCTGCTGCTCCACATATTACCTTGCCTTACCTATAAGCTTAAATAGTCTTGATCGCGAGGGTGCGAGATTGCTGAGTCCCTGTGGCTCACGGATTACTTCCAAACCAGATGCAGGGCCTGATGACTCCGTTCCAGATGATGCGCTTGAGCTCAAGTGGGAGTTCGATGAAGCTTCCCGTCGTTACTATGTGTCTTTCCCTGATGATCAGTAGTGGTGCCCAGTTGGGGTGATCGGGACCGTGTCGCATGTTGGGTTGATCTTTTATTTTGGCACCGTAGTCGGGCCATGAGTGATTGGATGATGTAATGCTATTTATGTACTTTGTTTGATGTGGCGAGTGTAATCCAACTATGCACCTTCCCCTTTTATTATCTATATTACATGGGTGTTGTGAAGATTGCCTTACTTGCGACATTGCTTTCAATGCGTTTATGCCTCTAAGTCGTGCTTCGACACGTAGGAGATATAGCCGCATCGAGGGCGTTACAGCCGCCATCGCTCGATCCCAAGGAGATCTAGGGTTTCCCCCGTAGTTGCCCGCGCTGTCAAGGGCTAGACAAGGGTAGAATCCCGCGGATCTGCCCAGCTGCCGACGAGTCGCACCCACCACCGTGCCGACGGCCGACCAGCGATCAATCCGGCCGCGCCGCCGCGAACCAATCCGGTCACGCCGCCGCCGTCCCTGGCGGCCGCAACGCACCAGATCGCAAGGCCTCCTGCCGCAGGGAATCGACGTCGCCGAGGTGCCGCCACCACCCGCCGTGGCGACCGGCCCGCCGCCACGCTCCGGCCCGCGCCAGCCCCACCCGAGCGAGAGGGCCCGAGTCCCCGCCGCCGCCGGCGACGGCTAGGCTTCGCCTGGCCGCGTCCTTGGGCGGCGGCGAGGGAGGAGGAGGAGGAGTGGGGGAGGTTCGGCGGCGATGGGATCTGGGGCCTCCCGGTCACCCACGTGGGGGGCGGCTCGGGAGGGAGACGTACCCAACTTTGCGGCAAGCAATGAGGACGCCTCACAGGGTACCTCAAGCGGGAGCAACTAGTATAGAATCAGGTGTTGTGGTAGAAAAATAGAAAAAATCAATCTAGGCCATCAGATCAACCATGAATGGTACAGATTCTAGTGGAGGCATCTCAGACAACTTAGTGTACATTTCATGAAAAAAACCATATACTAGTAAGATGTAAAACTCGACTTTTGCAATAACCACCTCAACTTTCTCACAACCAATCGTGGTGTCCTTGGTAATAAGACTATTTTTCAAACATCACGGCGCTGATGTCTCCTCTTTACAGATCAACTTGTTTTTTTAGGTGTTTCTAGCAAAGATATAGGAGTAATTCCGCATCATGTGCATGCAATATGTTCGTGCGTTACCAAATTTCATCTTTCTTTGATTACAAAATCAACACAACACATCCCAAATTTCATCTTTCTTTGATTACAAAATCAACACAACACATCTGAACTAACATGAGAAAAAAATAGAAAGTGCACAAGAACATATGTATTATCATTTGAATTTTGCATTGTCTATTTTGCTTGGGCATTTGCAGGTCATCGTTCACAGTTTATATCATAAGAGTAATTATATTTTTATTTTGCAGCCATGAGAGATGACTCGCCAGAGAAACAACCCTACAATCATAACTCAAATACACTCTCAGAGAGACTGGTCAAAAAAGGAGTGACACACAACTCAGAAACCCAATTTATTATATATAATGATTAACACGCTCAACTTGAATTGTAATTAGGCCATTATATGAAGCACTTCTTAAGCGTGAACAGAAACACCAGTTACACTGAAAATATATCAGCACTCTTTTTACACACAAAGGTGTGGTTATTTTCGCACACAGAGCTTCCTTCACTTCGCCGCTCTCAATAAGTCAAAGTGCTAGTGAAATGATCTGGAAAATCGATAGCAGAAGCTATCCAATGCATCTGTTCTTCTGCTGCTATGTCCTCTGTTCCTATCTAAGCCTGGGCATCCAGTTGTCAAATCTACCTGCACAAAAATGAAAGCATATGGAATTATGAAAAGTTAGTTTCTTGCATAATTAGATAAATCTAAATAGATGGTTATCATAGATGAGGTGGCAGCATGGAATTATTTTTCACTACATAAAAAGGAAGCACATTCATGTAAAAGAGCAATGCCTTCTCAAACCTATGTAGATTAATTAGGACCTCTTACAACTCTAAACCTGGATCTCCTTTTCTAGACACCAAACTTGGAACATCAAAGAGAAAATGGTTTCGTCAATGGACCAACCTACAGGAGAGCAACATGCATATGGACAGGAACTGTAGCAGAAGAAAACATGAACTGTATTTAGTATAGGAACCGAAGCTTCATATTAAATCTCAGAAAAGGAGAATATGGACAGGAACTGCAGCTTCATATAAAGTCCTTGTCTTTAAAGTTTTGGTACATTCCTGTTATAACTTTTCAATTCTGACATTTTTCTATATTGATAGCCTAAGGTAATATTCGACAAACACAACTTTAACATAGTTGGGCAAACATTATTATACATTCAATCACAAGGTCCAGTTGGCAGCCCATTGACTAGATTTCAATAACAAGAATTCGATGGCAGTTATAGCAAGACGACGAAGTGGTAGCTTCAAAGCTTCAAAGCAAGAAGAATAACAAACCTCTATTTTTTTTAAGAGCATGCCCTTACATCATGGACACCACTTCCTTACAAATGCTACATTTGTGTGTGAAGAGAACATGAAAGTTTGCACAGCATGAGCTTACTGCATGTATCATATACTGCAAATGCAATACAGAGAGAAACTACAGTCTCCAAATTTGGTTCCTAAAATCACTAAATTATTCATCGATGACAGAACTGCAATCTATTGGAGATACAGTAGCAACCAAAAAAGCTGAGGCCATCTTCCTCCATTGAAAATTTGATTCCCTGAAACATATAATTGCAAGAGAAAATGGAGGTCGTACCAAATTTCAGAAGAAACTTTTTAGCAATCTGACAAAATCTGTAATAGTTGTGCACGTTCAACCTATCCTTGACCAACCGGAGTATACAATTCTCCCCTGTTCTACAAGTTTCGCTAGCAAGGCGAAGATATACATGGTACTTGAGTATGTAATAAATGGCAGAGAGCTATTTGAGAAAATCGTAATGATTCTTCTCCTTATGCTCTCAGTGTACTAACTGCTAAGCGTGATTCAGGAACTTACGAAGAAAATTCCAGAGATGTAATAGACTTCACATGCATGCTAGTACATCTCCAACACTCCCTAATACGTACTCTGAAGGGCAAGCAGTCCGAACTCTGAAATTAATTTTGAGAAAATAGGAATCCAACGAACATAAACGTCATCCAAGAATGAATTCCTCACCGTCCCGGTCGAGGAAGAACACCTGGCGCGCGCGGCCATCGGGTTGCGTCTTCGCGAACAAGTCTGTGCCAGGGTTCTTCAGCTTGGTCGCAAACCTGTCGGAATCCGGCACAGAGAAGGCCAGGTGATGCCTCCTGGATTCCTGGGTAGATGCACGAGTGGAGGAGGAGACCGTGGCGGCGGCGGCCAGGGTCCTGGTCGATGATGCGCAGTACGGCGTCGAGAGGCGCATGGAGGAGGAGCGGTGGGCGTAGTCCTCTCGCAAGCACCGGATCTGACCGCCGCCGCCGTCGGCGAGCTACAGGGAGGTGGGCTAGTGGGGATCTTGTTTGAGGGACAAGGAGGCGAAACAATAATGAGAAGCAAAGGGACGTTTTTGCAAATAAGGATGCGGTTGTGAGTACAGATCGCTCCGCCTGGATCTGGGCCACTCATCTTCAATCCAACGATCCAGCTTCCTTTTTCTATTTTTGCACCTAATACCCAGATTCTATACCAGTCGCTCCCACCTCAAGCATGCATGTATTTACTGCAGTGCTTAGTTCATCTGAATCCGTGGCCCCCAGTTTCAGTAGTTAACGTCATGTCAATCAGTCACCTTTTCACATGTGCATATAACTTTCCTCTCTCCCCAAAGAAACAACGCACTTGGTATTTCACTCATCCATGCTTTTCTGTACTCCAAAGTTTAGACCCAGTTTATTTTTTGAACCGGATGTGTAATATGTTTACAAACCATATGTGCTTATTTCATTTTTGTAGACAATAGTAAAAGTGTATTTGAGCTGTAAGAACAAATAAGTTTTCAGAAACGTATTCAATATTGGTCATGTTTTAAATATCTCGTCAAAATAAACACGTTTGTCCAGATAGAATGTAAGACACACTTTTCTATTAGAAGATATGAGGTATTTAAATCGTTTACACAGAAAAAGATAATATATTTCCTGATAGAGTTGCCATGAGGGGCACAGCAATACACAGGGACATTAAGCACTGACACACACAACTGAGCCTGTGATAGAAGGGGTGGTGATTAGTGGTTTTGCATGCACTTGTTTTTGGGCGCGAATCTCGATAACACAATGAGTGGCAGATCCAGGCACGGTATATACCGTGCACCGCTAGTTTTGCCGCTCTCCTCCTGAAAGTCTCATTGACTTGTTTCCACAAAGAGCAAGCGCAGAACCGGTGGATGGCTACAGTGCACGCAGTCTACACACACTTTGTCACTTGCAGTCTCAGAGGAGGGCGTAGCTGCTGCTCCGGCTAGCTGGCTAGCCAGAGACAGTTGCTGTACGCTGCTGGACTTGGTTCAGGCTGGCGGTTTCTTCCTCCTCCTCTGCACTGCAGCCCAGCTGGGTGCATGCTGCCCTGTGCTTTTGGGGAGCCGGCCAGGCGGCCGGGGCCAAACCGATCGACGACTTGTGCGAGGCGGGCGCTCTCTCTCTCCACCCTCTGCGCCGGTGCTGCCACCGGCGACGGGCAGCTATCCCTTTTTCCTGCTGGGCTGTCGCGCGTCTCGTCCGTTTGCGTCTTTTGCGGTCGATCAAATCAAAAGGCCAATGGCGAGTTCGTGTGTGCATGATGCATTCATTACTCAGTTTCTCAGTAGAGGTGTGCGTCCTTAGAACTCCACAGTAACTTCAGTGACCGCCCGGGCGCCCCGTTTTGTTCTTTTTCGGGTGCACGGATGAGCGGGGAGGGGCCAAAGTTTGTGGCAGATTTGGGATCTGGCCTTTGTTTGCGCGGCGAGTGGTGAAAGGTCGAGTGAAAAATGCACGGTGAGTCCTAGGATCCGTGGCTAGTTTTTTTAACATCAGTACAGACGCAAGTGTTCATACATATGCGCATATACTCACCCTTATGAAGGCACACACGCACACCCTATCTCCATGAGCACCTCGAGAGACTGAGCCGGCATGTCATCTTGACATTTACGAAGTCACCGTAGACGCCTCGTCGTCGACGGGAACGTCTCCTTCCACTGAAAGCGCGTCACCGAAAATTCTGAAATAAATTCAGGAATAATGCGAGCATCAGGACTTGAACCCTAGTGGGCTGGAGATACCACTGTCCCTCTAATCATCCAACCATAGGTTGGTTCGCAATCCGTGGCTAGTTTTGGAGAGTCGGGGCCGATTTAGTTCAACAACTTACATAATGTAATTTTGCACGATGAAGTTGGTTATAAAGTGGACACGCGTCAAACTTGACAATATCAAGTGTGGTTCCGTCTGGAACGGAGACGGCATCGATCGCGATCGCTAGGGTGGCAACCCGCATGTAAATTGGATGGTTGTGACGCCCTCGTTGCTCGGAGCTTATGGAAGCACCACAATGTGTGTTCAAAAAAAAAGAAGCACCGCAATGGCTGCATTTTCGAGGGTATCTACTAACTAGCTAGTCCTTGACCTCGAGCGTTCTCTCGTGGATCCAAGACGAAGCATGGCTATGGGCTCGAACCGGCGCCATGGGATGGGACTGAATAGCATATTAACGTAGCCCGCTCTTGTTTTCGGGGCTGAGCAACCCCATATCCCTTGCTCACGCGACCTAGGTTTAGCGCATGTTTAGTGTATGATAACCCGAGACGTTCCTTTTTATAAAGAAACCATATGTCATGGCCGGTCTCAACTAGTTTGATGAACCGCCATTCTAGGTCTCGCCTATTTCTTTCTAGAGCTACAATATATGTTGTCATCATCTCCCCACATAGTCAACATAAAATGTATTGACACCATTACAACGACTATATCCGCAGGCCGCATCATGACAACATTGGATGACTACAAATAACACTGCCTCCTCGATCGTGACCACATCATACCAATGAGCGCCCCATTTCCCGACTCTGGTCCGAATGAAGGAGAAAGAGCTGAAATAAGAACAAAAATGTCACACCGCATGGCTAGATTTAAAGTTTTGATTTCACCCCAATGTGTCAAGGATTGAAAGAAGGCTTGTCGGTCGCTCTACTTTGCTTTCATATGATGGCATACTACAATTAATCAAACCGGTCTTCTCATCCCTCCCATTTTCTACATGTGCTCTCCAGCAATGCCAGTCACTCTCACATATCAAGTGAACAAATACCTCATGCATTTCTTTGAAGGAAGTATGGAAAAGGTAACAGGGGCGCTCCCTAAAAGACAATGGGGCTTAGGGGCTTAGGTATTCTAGATGTGAAAAAGCACAACAAAGCACTACTGATCAAGAACCTCCACAAATTCTTTAACTATGAAAACTTGCCTTGGGTGAAACTTATTTGGGAGATCTACTATAGTGGCATCTTTCCATTGGAAAAAAGAGAAGGGTCATTCTGGTGGAAAGCACATTTAAGTTTATTGATAGATTTCAAGAAAACAACAACATGCTCTATTGGTAACGATGGCTCCATTCTTTTTTGACATGGCATGGCAAGGGCAACCCCTCACTCAACAACTTCCACAAATGCACTCCTTTGCTACCAAGGACAAGGTCTATTTTGCTACAATGAAAAATTCTGAAGACCTTGTTGACCATTTTCATAGGACATTGCCTATGCGAGTTTTTGCCCAGTTCAATGAAATTCAGGCAGAGTTGGATTGGGGAATCATCACTCAAAACCCTGACAGATGGTCTTATCACTAGAAAAGATAAGGTTATTCATCTCTGTAATGTATAAATGAATGATGGAAGCCCACATTATTTTCAAATGGCTTTGGAAGAGGGCAAGTAAGCTAAGACATAAAGTTTTCTGCTGGCTTCTTCTCCATGACAGAATAAGCGAAAGAAATCTTCTGAAAAGGAAATCCATGCACTTATAATGTTATAACTGTATTTTCTATAATGAAAAGCTCTGAAGAGATAGCACTACGTCTCTTTTGGGACTGCAACTTTGCTCAGAATTGTTGTCTTTCCATTCTTCCATACAAGCTAAGGGGCATCTCTACCTCGGATAAAATAAATTTGGAGGTAAATTTTCTGGCTTCTTGAGACCTCAAAAAAAACATTGCTTTGCAAATCATTATTCTGGTGTGCTGGAATAGTTGGAGCGAAAGAAATGGAAAGATTTTCAAAAATGATGTTTCAACAGTGAGCACATGAAAATTTCTCCTCGAACATGATCTTATTCTCCTTAGGAGCATGATAGAAAGCAAGAATGCTTACAGATGTGGATTGACAGCCCTCCTTGATGCCGGTGTCCTAGTTCTGGTCCTTAATCTTTGATGATGATCACCATCTCACGTAGACCGGGCATTGAATAATCTCTTTTTTTTTCCTCTTTTTTCCACGTGTATGTACATATTTGTCCATTAGTAACATAAACATTGTAGGAGTAGAACTATTGTCCTGCAGTTCTTGGCCTAAAAAAAGTTCAACCTTTTAAAGGTCTCGTGCAGGTACTAAATTACTGTAACTTCCCGTACGCCACTCTTGTTGTCGCCGCCACCTCAGCAAGGATCGTCAACCTCTGGCTCCGTCGTACCGCATCGCCGGTGGCTATTCCGGTGCTGGTTTTTATTTCCTTGCATGCACTGTAGATCTGTTGGCTCACCGCACGCAGGTAATTCTTCTTGTGCAAAGGCCACCCATGTCAACACTTGTGCCTGTAGACCTGTAGGACTAGGAGTGGCGCCTATGGGCGCACAGTTGCACATGTACACATGCGCCTCCCTCACTCCCTCCCGACCATAGGATGCGTCGCGGTGTGCAGCTTTTGCCGACGCATGCGAGCGCAATCGCGATCACGATAGTAGAGGGTAACGTCGCGCAGTAACCAATTAAGAATGACCCGGATCCTCTTTTCCATTTACCAGAAAGATCCAAGGGCGGGCTGGCAGGCGTACGTACAGCAGGCCGGGCTCCCTCCGTTCCGAATTATTTGTCTTCGATTTGTTTAAATACGAAGGTATCTAGACTCTGTTAGTGGTGGTGTGGACGGTCCTCGATCGGATATTGTGACACGATCGACGGATCATACAAACACACCGTCATGCACGCACGCAGCAATAGGTAGCTTTTTCTTCTGGGGCGCTTGGAATTGGTTTGGAGGTTGCACTGTTGGACTCATCTTCGTCTTTGCGGGTGTGCATGCATGCATACATGGATAGATGGATCCAAGAACGTCTGTGCTGCCCTAATGAAACCAAATTACGCTGCCATCGATGCATGTGACTTTGTAGAGAGAGAGAGAGAGAACGGTGGCTCACACGAGTCAGAGGGTGAGAGAGAGAGAGAGAGAGAGCG